CAATGAAATATTTCATTCACAAAAGGACAAATACTGCATAGCACCACTGTTATAAAGCAGGTGTGACATGGGTGGTTGGGAGGAGAATAGGATAAGAGTGGATAAAGGCCATTGCATTGGAACAGATGAAAGAAAGGACTGTCTAAAAGGATTATGTAATAAGACATTATACATATGACAACAGCTCAGTATAAGGGATATGTCATTGCATAGAGGACTAGGGGTGGGGGATAGGGGGAAGGAGGAATTAGGTAATTGTGCAGCAATGAATGAATATTTTAAAAAATTGAACTGGGAGGAGGGAAAGAGGGGTATAAAATGTGCAACAATGAATGAAAATATAACTTCTCTAGTTTTCTTTTTTCTTTTAAAACAAGAAATTCAAGCTGAATTCAGAAAAGGACATGACATGATCTTGACTAGAAGCCTAGAATGTTATTTTTGTTGTTGTTATTATTTGCTGCCAAGTTTCTTACGTTGCATATCGACCTATGTATAACAGCCCTAAACCCTGCTCTATCCCATGCCAACCTTATTGTCTCTGACACACCTATCCTCATAGCCCCAGTCACTGGGTCAATTCATCTTGTCAAAGGTCTTCCTCTCTTACACTGTCCCTCTACCCTCCCAAGCATGATGTCCCTCTCCATGACTGGTCCCTCCTTGCAACATGCCCAAAGTATGTCAGACGAAGCTTTAGAATCCTTGCCTCCAAGGAGCATCTGGTTTCACTCTCTCTAGGAAGAACCGGTTTGCTCTCCTACCAGTCCATTGTATATTCAATACTCTTCTCCAGCACCACAGCTCAAAGGCATCAATTCACATAGAATACCAGAAATAAATGAATAGATAGATAGATAGATAGATAGATAGATAGATAATAGATAAATGTCATCAAAGACTAGAAGAAAATATCATGTTTTGTAAAGCAGAGGGACATAGAGTGAAGGAGACTCTGTATGAGATGAATTGGCACAATACACACAATAAGGGGCATGCTGATTGAGATTGTGCAACACTAAGAAACATTTGGCTCAGTTTTACATGAGGTCTTGATGTGTACCACGGCGTTAGAACTGATCCACAGCTGACTCTTCGGTGAGATTTCCGAGGTAGTAAATCACAAGGGAGGAGATTGCCCATCCTTCTCCTGAAGAGCAGCTAGTGGATTTGAACTGCATACCTTTGCATTAGAAGTGTAATTGCGTAGAGTTAAGCCAGTTTGCTCCATGAGTGAACGATGGGTAATCCCCACGTGTGAGATACACTGCCTCTGAAAACTCGCAAATGGGTCAGTGATGAATCAGTTGCAGCTAAACAGTACACAACAACAGTAAGCCAGCTTGAGTAAAATGTACTATCATAGCAGCTGTCTTCATCCTCTATCACTACTCTATGCTCACTTTGACTGCTAATAGGTGATGGAATGAATGGAGATACCAATAAAGAGTAAAAACAGGAGAACAATTCCTAAATTCTTCTCCTTACAAGTGTGTATTGTTTCCTAGAAAATGGTGATGTGGTATCATGTCAATAAACACTTAGGCTATAATGCCTGGAACATTGGTTTAGCTAGAGGAACTGTGAAGATAGAAGGAGTCATCTATACTTGTGTACTTACCATTCCAATGCATATCTGAAGAATTTAAACTATTTTCCATATTTTTAGTATTTATAATTAAAGTTATAGACAAAATTAAAAATGCTAATCAGCTAACTTTAAATGAGACAGAGATTCACATGAATAATAAATACAGTACATTATCCACGTAAAAGATAAAATCAAGTATTCATAAAGGTAGACAAGAGAGAAGATTAAACATATATAAGAAGAATAAAGTTTCAAAAAATACACTAATGTTTCATTTTCCATGTGGTTAAAAATACAAATAATGAGTTACACTGAGATAAGTACTGAGATGAGAGTGGCTTCTAGAATCAGAAAATGGCTAAAGTCTCTAAAAGAAATGACTATGCATGCACCTTGATTTTAGCCCAGTAAGATGTATGTCAGATTTCTAAGCTTTTGTAAGAAACTGAAATAATAACACGTGTTCTTTTAAGCCATGGCATGTGTGGTCATTTGTTACATTCATAGTACAAAGCATTCTATTCCCTTAAATCATATAAAGGATCAGCTCAAGATTTTCTTGCAGAGACTAAATTTAAAATAATTAATGAGAGTCTCATGTCAAAAAATGTTTCACCATCTGGCCATATTATATCACTCTATGTCAATTTAAAGACTAAGGTGTGCCTAATGCAAGTCATGATGTTTTCAATTGTTTCCTCTATATCTGAGAGTTGAATAAAGAACAAGGAATATCCTCAAAGAATCTATGCCTTTGAATTGTAATGTTAGAGAAGAGCATTGAATAACCCATGGACTGCCAAAAGAACAAATTTATTTTGTAGGAAATGTAACTGGAACAATCTTTATAAGCAAGAATGTTAAGACTTCCTCTCATATACATTGCACATGTTGTCAGAATTTGAGTATCCTTAGAAAAAATAATCCATGTGGGGGAAGGCAGAGGGTCAACCAAAGAGAGGAAGACTGTCAATGAGATGGCTTGGCCATAGTGACCATAACAATGGACTTGACAATGACAGAGATTGGGAAAATGGTACAGGATACAACAAGCATCAGGTCTATTGTTCATAGGGTTGCTAGGAGTTAGTCTATTCAAAAGCACCTAACAACAACATGTTAGCACTTTTGAGGGACCTTAATAGAACAGCACATGATATGTTGAGAAACTAACTGAATCATCAATAGTTTAAATCCACTAATCAATCTGAGAAAGAAAGATGTAGTAGTGTTAGCTCTCATAAAGATTTACAGCCTCAGAACCTCATGGGGGACTTGCCAGGAGTCAAAATAGACATGCTGATGGCAGCTCTTTCTGAATGTTCTACTATCTTCAAGAACAGCATCCACAAGCAAGTGTTTCATCACTTTTTATTATGTATACTAGCTTGGTATTGTAGGTTTTTGTCATATAAATCATATCTAGAAATGTGATTATTGTGCATTCCCACTTTGACTCTTTAGAGACTTGCTCCTGGTTGGATGTTTGGAATAAATAATAGATACAGCATGAAGGTTTAGAGGATGACAAAACCCATTGCATGATAACCACTGAAGTGGGGTAATCCCATAATGTAAAGGAAAAGGAAAAGGATTTTTTCCCCTATAATAGAGTAACTAATATAGAAGATCCAGAATAATTTTGATATTTATTATTCTAATTCTTTCTCACAAACATGTGCCTTTTAAAAAAAATTTAAATGCCATCCTTAACTTCTTAAGACAGTGGCAGTGGCAACATGTTCAGTTGACATATTTGAATATATTGCCAGGAGAGAATTTTACTGGAGAGATCTAGAAAATAAAGGAAACTTTCCTGCTGAGATCTAAGTTGAATCCAATGCATACTCCCTTTTCAACTTTTTTTTTATCTTTAAATACAAGATGACATCAGATAAACCTCTAGCAAATAAACCTACTGTTACACAGACCTTAAAACAGCAGAATCAAAAGTAGCTTCTTTAATCAACGATAAGCCAGTTAAGATGGAATATTCTTGAAGTGACATGTTCCCAATATGGAGTATTCTTAAAATAAGTCAAATTTTCAACTAAGTGACATTTTTCAATTGCAATAAATATGCCAATATAGCTCCTTATTGAATCCATGTGCACACAAGAAAATAATCATTTTATCAAGAGATAGTAAATTACACAATTAAATTAACAATTCCCATGCAAAATATAAAAATAAAAGTCTCAAATAAATGTAAATCCTCATCTTTAGTTTTCCATTTGAATAAAAATACAAATAAGAAGGTATATCAAAATTAGGTTCTCAGTAATCAGTCCGTCAGAGGTTGTGGTGTTAGGTAGACAGTATCAAAAGTCGGTATTCAGACTCGCTGCAGAAACATATTACATATGAACATTGAGTCACAGCTACTGAAATATGCTCTTCTCTGAATTGTATGGAGAGCTCACAAATATTTTCTGTGACCTGTATATTTCTTCCTCAAAGTTTAAAAATTCTTCTATGGGCTTCTTCCATGTTCATTTCCTCTTTGTTTTTTTTTTAAGGGGTGTTGTTGTGGGTTTTTTTTTTGTGTGTGTGTGGGTTTTTTTGGTTGGGGTGTGTGTGTGTGTGTGTGTGTGTGTGTGTACCATCAAATCGGATCTGACTGGTACAGAAGGAGATTGCCCCTCTTTCTCCAGCAGAACATCTGGTGGATTCGAATCATGTACCTCTGGGATTGCAGTGCTTCTTGCCACTAGGCCACCAGAGCTCCCTCCATATTTATTTTTGAAAAGATAAGTTCTATTTGGCTGGGAACATAAGCTATCAAGAGATAACTGTAATTACAGAACAGACAAAAAAGTTATTGATTTGATTCAGGCTCAATAGCAACCTAGGTATCACAGAGGTGAAATGTCCCCTAAAGAGGTTTTTGGCTGTAAACTTTATGGAAGCAGATTCACTAGACATTTAATCCATAGAACTGTTGGTTAACTTTTAACTGTCCACCTTTAATTTAATAGGCAAGATTAGAAAATTGCATGAAGAAGACAGAGAAAACAGTAGACCAAAGGTACAAGTTGGTTTAAGAATCCAAGGGAAGAGGAAGACAAACATGCGAAATCTAAGGCATTCTGTTTGCTTCCGGTGTTACTACTTCCTCTACTGAAATGGACTCAACACTAACCAGTATATATGTTCACATTTCCCATTTTCCTGAAGAAACCAGCTTTCAATCTGCAAGGCAGTTTTCTATGAAATCTATAGTTGTTACTATGTTTGCTTGATGTCACTGAACAAATATGACTCATAGCAACCTTACAAAAACAGTGGATCCGAACCCTGTCCTGTTTTGTGCCTTCCTCAGCACCTCTGGCATACTTGAGTCTGAAAATCACATTCTCTGTTGGATTCTTTAGGACAATCAAAACCATCCAGGATTTGAAGCATCCATTCATCTCTGTTCTTCAGAGATGAGTTTCTTACTCCATAACTTCCTCATGGCATTTTTCACCTCTGCATTTCTCAACGTGTAAATCAGAGGATTCAACAAAGGTGTTCCAATTGTATAAAACACAGCGATCATCTTATCCATGGGGAAAGTGGTGGCAGGGCGTGTGTATATAAATATACAAGGACCAAAGAACAAGATAACGACCATGATATGGGAGATACAAGTAGAAAGTGCTTTTTTCCTCCCTTCAGCACTATGATTTCTCAATGAATACAAGATGATGAGATAAGACAGCATCAGGATAGCGAAACTCACTGTACATATGGCTCCACTGTTGGAGACCAATAGTAAGTTGACCACATAGGTATCTGAACAGGCAAGCTGCAACAAGGGTTGCAAGTCACATAAATAGTGATCAATCACATTGGGACCACAGAAAGGTAAACTCAAGGCCAGAAAAATCTGAACCAATGAATGCACACAAGACCCCACCCAGGCTACAGCCACCAACACACTGCAGACCCTCTTGTTCATGATGGTCATGTAGTGCAGGGGTTTACAGATGGCCACATAGCGGTCAACAGCCATAAGGATCAGGATGAAGATTTCCAGACAGCCAAAGAAATGGAGGGAAAAGACTTGGATGATGCACTCACTGAAAGAGATAATGTTTTTCTTCAAAAGAGCATCCACAATCATTCTCGGGGCTATGGACGTAGAGAAGCAGGTGTCAGATAAGGACAAATAGAAAAGGAAGAAGTACAGTGGACTCTCGAGGGCTCGGCTGGTCTTGATGGTGACAATAATCAGCAAGTTACCCACCAGCGTCCCTAAGTAGAAAATCAAGAAGACCACAAACACTATTTTCTTTTTAACAGGATCCTGTGTCAATCCAAGCAGAATGAACTCAGTCACATTATTATTCAACAGCATGATTTTCTGAGAAGATAGAAGTGCTAAATGATGTGTCTGAGGAAAAACCACACACACACAAGGGTTAATTTATGGTGCTCTGCAGTGTTCTAGAATATTTTAAGTAAATGAATTAATGAAGCAGTGATGGGATCTTTTTAACAAACTTACTCCTTATCAGAGACATTATAACTTTCTTTTCTCAGTAAATTCCTTCAACACTTATTGTAAATCTCTAATAAGCATATGAAAAATATTTTCTTAGTTCATTCTTCAAATGCAGTTCCTTGTTTGTTTTACAGTACAAATTTATTTGACAAATAAAAATGAATTAAATTAACATATAATCTCAATTTACTATTATTTATATTCAATAATCTTTGTATTTTGTATGATTTATATTTGCCTTCCCTTTTAAATTTAATTAATAAGGTCACACACCATTCCCATGTCTGTCAACAATGCCTTATTTATGCAATAGTTACATTAACTTTTAAGTAAGCCACACACAGAAAACTCTGTTGCCATCAGATTAATTTCAACTCATGAAGACCCCAAATGTTACAGAGTAAAACTTCTCCAAAGAGATTTCCTTAGTTGTAGTTTTCACAGAAACCAATTGCCAGACCTTTCTTTCATAGTAACTCTGGAAATGTTCAAATCACCAACCGTTAGTAGGAAAGTCACCATCCCTTGACCAACGGAGAATATAAGTCAGTTATTCCTTGAATACTTATAATGATCTTACAACCATTTCTTAATGTTTAATAATAATATAATTCTACCTTTGAAAACATCATGATACTTAGTAACTGACATACGCTAGTAAGTACAAACCAATGTGCTTTGATAATTATTAATAAGAAACCCAGGAGATTCACTGAACTATAACTAAAAGGCTAAGTGGCTAGCCAAAGGTCAGAAGATCAATTCTAGCAGCAGTTTCTCTGCCCAAAGATGTAACATTTTTCTTGTATAAATATTTTTGTTGGTAGTAGTGGTAACTTTGAGTCTACTGTGATATAGCAACAATCAACAATATCAACTATGTATCAATATAGCAACTATCAACAATAGAGATATACTGGAGTCCACTGTTACATTCATTGTTTCAATCTATATTCAGGAGCATCTTTATCTTTCTCTGACCTTCCACCTTCCCTAGCATATATCTTTTTTCAAGGACTGTCTTCCTCTGGCAACATATTCAAAATATGTGAGATGATGTTACACCATTCTTGCCTCTAATGAACACTCTGATTGCATTTCATCCATGCTGGCTTGTTTGTTCATTTGGTAATACTATTCCCCAGTACCACAATATAAAGGCATGAATTCTTCTGTTATCCTTACTCATTCGTTGGAAACCTTATATGGAAGTCCTACTCTATCTTATAGGAATGCCTAGAGTGTATGTAGACACAAAAATGGATCTGGAATAAGATAACTCACAAGAAATTTACTTTAATTAAATTTATTTTATATCTTACCAATGATCATTCAGGTTTGAAAAATCCGATCTTTCAATGTAGATTCCTTTTAAAAAAATAACTAAAATAAAATTAGTCAAAAAAAGCATAAAATTTATTGAAATAGTCCCATCAACATAGCATTGAAAGGGAAAAATATGCTGGTGAAAGCATGTGTCCAAATCATATTAGCTTATGATATATACAGCAAAATCTCACTGGTGTTGAGTCATTTTATTTAGAACAGAGAAAAGCTGCCTGTAAGACTTCCAAGGCTATAAATGTCTTAACAGAAATAGATGACTCAGCTTTCTTCCTAGGACTGATTTATGAATGGGTTTAGACAGTTGATCTTTTATCAGCAGCTAGGTTGTTTAACCACTACAGCACAAAGATCCTGAATTATCCTGTTCTTCCCGACGTCCATCTATTCCTACAATACTTTTACTTGAAAGTTGTTATATGGCCAAATCCAAATTATGACACCCAAAATAGACTATTTTCTCTTCTAATATTCTTTTCTTCAACAGTCTTAAAAGTAAATCTTATCTTCCTAGAAAGCAAAATATCTCTTTGGAAAAGTTGCTTATAAGTATCCTTTCTTTGTAGTTTTGAGCATGGAATACATCTCTCTTTGGATGATAAGATCTTGAGTGAGAATAAACTGTAAGGAGCTTGAGTCTTGGTATCTTAATCACTACAGCAAGTCTAATCTTTATTATTTAAAAGATAATTCATCATATATGTATTTTCAGCATCGAGGACTCTCCTTCATAGGGTCACTATGAGTTGCCTGTGACTCGACGGCACTTAACAACAAGAATATGTATTTCTACTCTAAAATACAGAGGGTGTAAGATTTTGGTCACTCCTTTAAAAATAGTTTTTGGTTTCTATGTGTATGACCATTCTCTGTAGGGAGATTGTTTCTTAGACAAGCTCATTTCCTTTTTTGACACAGAATATTAAGCTAAATTAAGAATTAGAAGTACATTTCAGTGCCTTATTCATAATTCAGAATGCTGTATTAGTTCTCTACTGCTGCTATTACAATAATGTGTGTTTTTTTTTTCAAGAACAATAAGTTATTTAATTACAGTTTGCAACTTTAAAGTCCAGAAACAAGACATTAGCTCTATGGTAAAACTTACTGTCTCTTAGCGTTGGAGAAAAGCCTTGTCTCCTCAGCATCTGCTTGACTCTGGACTGGACGATAATGTGACACAGCCGGTATCTATCCCTAATTCAGTCTAGCCATGTCTTTAATTATTTTATATCTCAATAGAAATTTATTTACAATACAAATTATATATGATTAATAGAATAAAAGAAATCCCATATGATAGATAGTAAAAAAACTCCATCATTTTCTTTAAGACAGAAAAAGACTGCCTGCAGGATTTCTAAAACTATAAATCTTAACAGAAACAAAACCCTCATCCTTCATCCTCTGCTGGGGTTGGATGGACAGATTTAGGGGATCTGTAATCCTAAAGTTCATTTCTTTACATTCATATTCCGAACAAGCTGGAATACCTTAGTCACATTTTTAGTAACCTAGAGAAATAATATTTGTGATCAAAACTGCAGAGATTTTTGTTTGTTTTGGATAAATGAGTTGTAAGTATATTTTTTTCATTTACAAAACACTACGATCTAGAAAATCATGAACTTAATCCTTAAATTTTTGTGAAAATATTTTATGAAACCTGTGTATGATAACTATGTGTTCAAGATGCAATAGAAGCATAGGCGTAAAATTAGTAAATGTCTATTATGTGGAAACTTGAGAGTGAACAGAGTGTAGAAGCTGATGATTAAAAATGAGTAGAGATGGAATATAGAAGCCCATCTTTTTCTCTGCTCTAGTCCTGGGATTTTTTTTTTCTTTCCAGTTCCTTCATCTTTCTCAAAACTTTATGATCCTCCTTCAAAGAAGTCTTTTCTAGGGAGACTTCAGTGACAGTCTTGTGCTGAAGAAAAATTCATTCTACAAGCTTCTTTTACAGAGTGGTTTATGATATCATACATTTATTGAGTAGCTTTCTTTTCTTCTTTAGTATTTTTTAAAGGACAGACACGTAGTAACTATATATTTCACAATTCTATCATCTACAATTTAGACATACATGGCTTATACAATGGACGCGCTCACTAGTTATTGTTGTACCTTCAAGTTGGGAATGGAAAACCTGGCATTCTCTAGAAACTATGGTAAGCTCACTTCATCTATTCTAGCTTCATTGCTATTTTTATAAGAAAAAGCATTGGTGAATGTCTCTACACTCAATCATATCTAGAAACAACACAAATGGACTTCAGCCTTTTTCTCTCTACGTAGTAAGGATGGCTTTTGACCAAACATTTGTTGAATTGAAAGCATTGATTTTTTCCAAAAGTTGTATTTCATTCTATATGTTTTGTAAGTTAACAGTACATTAACTTGTAGTTTTGTTAGTTTGTTTACAAGTTTTTTTCTGGGAAGATTAGGGGGTGGTAATATAGACACTAAACATAGTAAAGAATCTGTGTAAATCATGTTGGAGTTTTCTGCGAAAATGTCTTTCTGAGCTCATAATATGGAAATAATTTATTACTTACCTCCTAGAAGATTATCAAAGTTTCTATCAAGTCTGTGTATCCCCTTTTAAAATAAGCTTTCTCATAGGAAGACTGAGAGAGAAAAAAAGACTCTCTACATTCCAGAGGGAACATTTTAGGGCGTGATGATGGAAGGTATTATGATCATAGAGACGATTATTCCCTGAAGGTTTCCTTCATGTGATAGTCAAAAATATGACAAATGTTGTATCAAACTTATATTTTAATTTGCCTATTTAGTTTATAAGAATGGCAAGCTGTTGTAATTGAGGGATTTTGAATTGATTTTGACTTTTAGAAATCCTCCTAGAAAGAGCTGAAATGAATCCAACTTGAATTTCTGACAGTTTCTCTGTCAATGTACCATTCCATCTAGTTTTTAATAATCTTCAGCAAACTTTCACTTGCTTATGAGATTAATGATATTGTTTCATTATTTTTTTTACTATGTTGGATGACCTTTTATGGAAATGGCAACAAATATGGCTATCTTCCAGACAGCTTGCTGGGTGCTTGTGTTCGAAATCTGTTGACAGAGATAGATGAGCATGTCCAGAGTTACACACAATACCTGAACCATCTCAGTTGGTATTCTATCAATTTATCTGGCTTTTTTTTTTAAGAAAGCGAGTCTAAAGTTTCCTTTTTCTGTCCCAAAGCTGCCAAAGCTCTGGTGTCCTCTGACTTCTACTCCACAGATGGTTTGCTCTGTCTTGACCTCCCATCCAGCTATAGTTAGTAAAGCCAAAGTAAAGGAGATACTTGCAAAGTAAAATCGAATAGTTTCTTTGAATTAGCAATAAAGAATCTGCTGAAGATTCTTCAAAAATTACTGGAGCAGCACATCAACAGAGAACTGCCAGAAGTGCAGTTTGAGTTCGGAAGGGGTTGTGGTACAAGGGATATTAGAGCTAATGTTAGAGGGATCTTGGCTGAAAACAAGGAGTACCA